TACAATGAGGAATAATGTTCCATATACTAGTTGTTGTTTTTTTTTATTGTTTGATCCAGTTTATTTTAAAAGTGTAATTAAGAGTGGTAAAATCTAAGAAGTTCAAACCTCCATTTTCAGTTGTGTTCATAACCACAGATTTCTTAATATAATGGGTTTTATTTTTCCATAAAAAATTGAAAAGCATATTATCAACAGTCTTGCAAATATTATTGTTGACTGCTAGAGAAAGAGCTGTATATGTGAGCCTTGAGATGCCCTCTGCTTTTGTAACCAATACTCTCCCCCTCAAAGATAAGTCTCTTAGTAACCACTGATTAAACTTTTTCTTCGTCTTATCAATAACAGGGGAGAAGTTTAGCTCACATCTTCTCTCTTCATCCTTTACAATCTTTATACCTAAATATGTGACTTCATTTTTTATAGGGATACCACAAATGGATGGTAAATCATACCACAAATAGATGGTAAATCGCACTGCTTAAGGGAAGGCTACGTCCTTCGAAGGACCCATTTGAAGACCGATTGCGTCACCGCGGCGCGACGAAGGCTGCCGCAATTCGAACGTGACTTCAAATGCGTCCTCCATGGAGTCTTGGCCAAGATGGCGTACTAGATAGCAGCATTGTGAAACAGCTAGCTGAGTCTCAAAGGTTTTCTTCGTGTTTTTATACTTTTCCCTAACAGTTTTTTAACAAATTAGTTTCTCATCGTCTAAAGATGGCGGGTAGAGGAAGAAAAGCTGAAGATAAGGTCGTGATCAGTAACAGAAATGATCATGATTACGCTGATACGATGGAAGTGTGTGTTGAAGCAAATAAGCGTCTCTTGGATGACTGTAGTGCTGAGGATCTACCTGTTACTCCCAGCAAAGTGCACATAACGAAGAAAATGCATCCTGATTATAAGGAAGACATTTCTAATGCAGATATCCTCGAGGCTATTTACTCCCTCAGTAAAAGATTTGACAAGCAGGAAGAGAAATTGGAGGAGTTGACAAGAAAGATGGAAGAGAGTAGCGTCATCTCCGAAATGAAGGAAGATATGAAAACTCACAAGCAGAAAGCAGCTGAATTGGAGCTGGAGCTTTCTGATCTCAAAAAAGAGAATAAAGAGCTGAGATCTAGGGTAGGAGAATTGGATCGCTACAAAAGACGGTGGAATTTACGCATCAAAGGACTGCCAGAGAAACAGAACGAGAACACAAGAGAGGAGGTGATCACCTTGCTTTCCACGATTGCTCCTGGTGTGCCCTGGGAAATGGAAGAAGCGCTTGACATGGTCCATCGAATTGGCAGAAAAGAAGGAAATCGCACGCGTCAGATCATCATGCAGTTTTCAAAGAGAATCTACAGAGAGCAAATCTGGGCACTGTCCAAGGGATCGTCCGTGTGCAAGGAGGCAGGCTGTCATTTCGCTGAGGACTTAAACAAAGAGGATAGAGAGGCGAGGCAAGTGCTGTGGCCACGCATTAAACAAGCACGAGCAGAAGGGAAAGCGGCGTAGGCCTACTTTCGGGGTCCTTTTGCTTTCATTGAGGGAAAGCAAATTTTTCCATGATGATGAATATTCGGAAAAAGGGAAATGTTGATTTCTGAGAGACTCTTTTTGTGTTGCAGGTTTATTCTTCAGATCTCATTACTGACTGTTCAGTGTCATTTTCTGTTTGTTCACTGTGAGTTCCAGTAGAGTATGTTCTCACTAAAATCTCGTTTATCTTTTTGTTCATTGAATGCAAGGGGTCTAAAGGACAAAGTAAAACGCAAAGGTATATTTTTGTTTTGTAAGGGGCAGAAGTCAAATTTTGTTTTTCTACAAGAGACTCACACAACTGAAGAAGATGCAGCTTTTTGGAAAATGCAGTGGGGAGACACAATGTTGTTCAGTCATGGCTCCAGTCGGTCAGCAGGTGTCGCCATATGCCTTAACAATTGCCCTGGGAAGGTTGTGACTTTTCAGTCTGATGCTCATGGACATTGGCTTACTGCTGTGGTTAACTGTGAAGGTATTTTTGTTATTTTAGTTAATATTTATGGGTATAACAGTAGTGGGCAAAACAAGATTTTGTTGTCTAATATTACAGATGCTGTTACGCATTTTAAATCGAAATTTCATACAAATGTGGTACTAATTGGAGGTGATTTTAATTTGGCACCCGATGAGTGGCTGGACAGATCTTCTTCTCGTTATACAAGCCACCATTTCAATATCATTATTCAGTAGTTTTGTCAGGTAAATTCCCTTATAGATATATGGAGGGTCAAGCATCCTAATGCTAGTCAGTTCTCTTGGGTCAAACCTAATGGATCCTCTAAGTCACGGATAGACTTTTGGCTCATCACTGAGGAATATTCTGAGCTTGCAAATACTGTTTCAATTTCTGCGGCGCCATTGACAGATCATTGCCTGATTTCATTAACTTTGACACCAGCATATTCAGTAGTTTTGTCAGGTAAATTCCCTTATAGATATATGGAGGGTCAAGCATCCTAATGCTTGTCAGTTCTCATGGGTCAAACCTAATGGATAGACTTTTGGCTCATCACTGAGGAATATTCTGAGCTTGCAAATAATGTTTCATTTTCTGCGGCGCCATTGACAGATCATTGCCTGATTTCATTACCTTTGACACCAGCAATAAAACATACCGTTAGGAAAGACTATTTTGGAAGTTTAATGCAGAACTTTTAAAGGATAAATATTATTGTAGTCAAATAAGAAATTTGATTAGTAAGATTAAAAATGACTTCTCTTTACGTTCTAATGGGATTAAATGGGAGTATTTTACATTTAAAACAAGGGAAATTTCAATTCGGGTTGCTAAACAAAAAAGCAGAGATCTGAAGCAAAGGGAGTTGAGGTTAATTCAAGAAATTAATATCTGTTGTAATACACAAGTAATGATTCAAGATGTTGAAAAGTTACTCTCTCTTCAAGCTAAATTAAACAGTATGTATCTAATGAAAGCACAAGGAGCTTTTGTACGGTCTCGTGCAAAATGGATGGAAGAAGGAGAGAAGAATACGGCTTATTTTTGTCGGTTAGAAAAGAGACAGCAAAGTAATGCAGTTCGTAGTTTAATTATTAATGATGAGGTAATCACAGATCCGAAATTAATATCTGAGGAAATATACTCGTTTTATAGTAATATTTACTCTTCGTCATACTCTGAAAATAATGCCAAGGAATTTCTTGAAAAGGTAAAAGTTTTTATTCCACAGATTGATATTGAATTTAAAGAACTGTGTGATGGAGACCTGAGGTTAGAGGAACTTGAATCTGCTATTAAAAAGAAAGAATTGTGTGATGGAGACGTGAGGTTAGAGGAACTTGAATCTGCTATTAAAAAAATGCATTTGGTTAAATCTCCTGGTCAGGACGGCTTGACTACTGATTTTTACAAATTCTTCTGGGAGGATATAAAATACTTGCTATTTAAAGCTTTAAAGGAGTGTTTTGATTCTAATTCTTTA